TCCTTGTCTTGTTCCTGATTTTAGCATGAAAGTTTTCAGTTTTTGACCATTTAGTATGATGTTGGCTGTTGGTTTTTCATAGATAGCCTTATTCAGGTTAAGATAAAGATCTTCTATTTCAATTTTCTGTAGGGTTTTTATCATGAATGGGTGCTTGATTTTGTCAAATGCCTTTTCTGCATCTATTGAGATGATCATATGGTTTTCGTCCTTGACTCTGTTAATATAGTGTATTGCATTTATTGATTTACAAATGTTGAACCATCCTTGTGTCCCTGGGATAAATCTGACTTGGTCAGTTTGTACGATCTTCTTGATGACCCTCTGTATTCTGTTTGTCAATGTCTTGTTGAGGATTTTTGCATCTATGTTCATGAGGGAGATTGGTCTGTAGTTCTCTTTTTGGGTTGGGTTTTTCCCTGGTTTTGGAATCAAAGTAACACTTGCTTCCAGGAAAGAATTTGAAAGCCTTGCTTCCCTTTCAGTTTCCTTGATGAGTTTAAAGAGTAATGGCAATAGTTCTTCTTTAAATGTCTTGTAGAATTCAGCAGTGAAGCCATCAGGACCTGGGCTTTTCTTTGTTGATAACTTTTTTATTACATTTTCAGTTTTACTCATTGTTATTGGAGTGTTTAGAATTTCTATATCTTCTTCATTTAACTTTGGCAATTTGTATGTATCTAGGAATCTGCCCATTTCTTCTTTGTTTTCCATTTTATTAGAGTACAGGTTCTCAAAGTAGGTATTGAGGATCCTCTGGATTTCTGCTGGATCTGTTGTGGCTTCACCTGTTTCATTATTAATTACATGGATTTGAGCCTTTTCTTTCCTTTTTTTGATAAGCTTGACTAAAGGTTTATTGATTTTATTTATTTCAAAAAACCACCTCTTTGATTCATTGATTTTTTGTATTGTTCTCTTAGTCTGCATTGCATTGATTTCTGCTCAGATCTTTATACTTTCCTTTCTTGTACGAGCTTTGGGTTTGTTATGCTCTTCTTTTTCTAGGAGCTTGAGGTTCTGCATTAGGTTATTTAAATGAGTTCTCTCTGTTGTCCTAATATGGGACAATTCACTGCTATGAATTTCCCACGTAGAACTGCTTTCATTGTGTCCCACAGATTCCTGTATGTTGTACTGGCATTATCATTTACTTGTAGAAACTGTCTCATTTCTTCTTTAATTTCCTCTGTGACCCATTGGTTGTTCAGGAGGGTGTTATTCAATTTCCATGTGTTTGTGAGTGTTTTGCAGTTTTTTATGTTATTGATCTCCATTTTTATTGCACGATGGTCTGATAATATACAGGGGATAACTTGAATTCTTTTACAGTTACTTAGATTTGCTCTATGAGCTAGCATGTGATCTATTTTGGAGAATGACCTGTGTGTAGCTGAAAAGACTGTGTATTCTGATTTTCTGGGGTGGAACACTCTACAAACATCTATTAAGTCTATTTGCTCAATAGCTTGGTTCAGTTCTAGAATTTCATTGTAAATTTTTTTCCTAGATGATCTGTCTATTTGTGATAGAGGGGTGTTGAGGTCCCCCACTATAATTGTATTATTGTTTATTTGGTTTTCATGTCCATTAATATTTGTTTTGTATAGTTGGGGGCATTTGTATTTGGTGCATAAATATTTATGATTGTCATCTCTTCCTCTTGGATTGTTCCCTTCACAAG